ACCTCAGGTAGTATTAAAACACAACTTACAATATGAGCCAGTGGGCCATATAATTAAACATGTCACCACCTTGTTGTACATAAGGTAATAAATCTGAGTTTCAAAATACTTAGTGCATGGTTACAGGCTGTAGTTTTCTAGAGTTAGCACTGCGATGTTTTGCGGCGAATACCAAGAAAAGGAAAACTATCATTTGCTGGTGTTGTAGCCATAATATAGATTTTGTTAATATGGATTAATATGGCTATGAATATTTCTGAATTCTGTACAATGAAATATAATTTATATGAAATATATTAAATGTGTATCAAAATGAATATATCAAATGCTATTTAACTTTGTTTATGTTTCGCATAAGTTGTATTATTATAGGCCTAAGTTATTATTTATAGATGTGTCAGGAACGTAATACACACGTCACTGTAAAGAGGTAGGCGTTTAGAAGAAAGAAATTAGTGATGGGAAAAGTGTGGGGGAAACAGTTTTTGACCACTACGTTCCTTAAGTAGCCTATTTTTTGGTTTGCATACCTTATGAATTTTATTTTCGAGTATGTTTTCTAAATGTTTTTGTTCGTGGAATTAAAGAAATTATTCCCACACTACCGGTCTGTCTGGCTGGTTTGTTTTTTATTGAGCAATACAGCTAATTTAAATGTTTGTAACTCTCCGAGACAAAGAAGAGCACAAAGTTTTGTTTAGTAAAAATCAATTTAAATAAAGAACAAACACAGTACGACAGAGATTTGGGGGGGGGGGGGGACTTTGTTGACGCAGTAACCCTTGACGACGACCGAGGGTGATTCGGTGCTGGATGTCTTTCGGATTTCGGTGAGGAGTGAACGACGTCCGTTATTAAATTAATTGACAAAATGCAGATTGATAAATGCTGTTTCGTACATTTTTTAGAAATAACTCACTTCTACAAATGTTTTTGTTAGTCATGCGTTTTAGTTTAATTCATTTCAAGTGTGACGTGATTGCTTGTATAAAATAGCTACTGTTAAACCTTTTCAATAATGAAACAGATGTTCATTCAGTTTTTACACGCATTCTTGTATGTTTGCGTTCCTTCACGATTTGATTAAAAACGTTTTACCACGAATAAACACACACACGCATGCGCGTGCACACAAATGTTTGTATTCATATCTTTGTGGGGACCGTTCGTTCATTCCTAAGGGGTAAAACCCTAATCCCAAAAATGACAACCCCTACCCAGCCCCAACCTTAACCACAATTAGCCAAACAAAATAGAAGACTTTTGGCATTTTTAGTTTTTTTGATTGTAATCAATTTATTAAAGTTATTAAATTGAGTTTCCTCTTGTGGGGACCGAAAAGTAGTCATCACAACACCAAAATAACAGGAGATATTTGGGATATTTGGTCCCCATGATGTATTTTATACATGACCCAGACATACTTGCTAGGGATGCAAATCCTGAACATTTTCAGTGGAGGAAATTTTCCATGCGAGTTTTTGGGAATTTATGGGAATTATTGGGGAATTTATATTTATCTGTGCGTCTACAGTTGTCAAACTTAGAGATTTTGAAGGCATCTAGATATAACACTTTTTTGAACACAAACACATTTCCCTTGTTTGCATTATTGAACGCAAACACATGAGGTGAAGCACAAGACTTGATGTTGAAAGTCAGAGTCTGCTCGATGTGGAGATGTCACACAGAATCATAATCCACACCCTCAGAGTCACGGTCCACTGCAGAGGTGTTGGATGGGTGGGGGTCAGTCTCAGAGAGCCTCAGGTTTGCCTGAATTGCTGCCAGTTTCACCACCGGTGTATTTGTAAGCCTGTTGTGGACGTTTTTTTGAGCGTATTGCCAAAAAAAGGCCGGTAGCACTCAGAGGCAGCTGATGTTGGAAGGATTTGTAAGATTATTGTTGCAAACTAAGGGCCTTGGATGAGCAAAGAACCTTCCACCAAGATGTTGCCGAATTATATTATCACAGAATAAACATCAGTGACATCAATAAACTAAAAAGATTGCTGCCTAGTTGGGTAGTTAGCTAAATTATTTTAGCTCATACATTAGCCTGTTTGAATCATGGATTACCTGTGGGGAAGCTGATTAGTTTTCTGAACATAATACTGTATAACCACTTTTACAGTTTAATTTTATATTCTAAACAATAACAAAAATATGAACTTACCACAGCTCAGCCTTTGCCCTCATCTGGTTTTACTCAAACATATGCACATGCAAACAGAATTAGAAACCAAAAATAGCTACAATACTGCCTTCTGCAAGATGGCCACTAGTTGGCATTGCATTATAAATCTCCAAAATATTCCCTTTGTTAAAATTTCCAAGGAAACTTTCTGGAAATTTTACGCCCCTTTGCGACCCCCACTCATAGCCAGTAGTGTGTACAGCCCATCAGGGTGATCGCCAACGGCACCGTTTGATTAGAGAACGTAAAAGAGAGCATGAAAAAAATCTGAAGAAATGCCTGTTGTTGCATTACATGACATTAGTTATATATAATAGTTTTAATATCTCTCTACTTTTTTTGTGAGATTGAAACTGAGTTAGTCACTTAACAGCCAAATGTTTTTAATATAAATGAACCAATAAAATTATTCTGCTGCTTTGGTGGGACTGGGTGTTGCTCAGTAGGATCTTGCCCAGAGCACCAAAACACCCAAAACACCCAGCCCATGTGCAAAGATAAGCGGTTAGAAGATGTATGTGAAGATGAATTTTAAGGACCAGTAGATAAACTGGGTTGCAAAACGTTTAAATATACACTTTTTATTTCCTAGCTAGTGATGTGTGCAGCCCATGAGCCAGGAGGAAGCAGAAAAAGCCGACATTACAGTGTGCAGATCAGTACCTCTGAGCCCTTATCCGCTGTGCCAGGGGACGAGGCTGTTGTGAGTGGTGGAGGTGCCTTTCTTACCTTCAGCATGGAATTTGCCTGGGGAAGCAGGAGTGGGGTGGGGCCCAGACAGTGGGCCGACCAGGCAGCCTCCCCGTCCATGGGCCCCCCAGAGAAGGAGCAGCCACCTGTCGAACCCAGGGAGGACCAGGACCGCCGCTGGCTTAAGTGGTCCCACCAGACGGGCCTGACCCGGAGAGAGCAGCTGAAGATGATGAGGGAATTCGAGCGGCTT